GCTGTATTTTCATTGAAAGAATAACAGTTTAGGAAGCTTTTCTGCATGTGCTTGCTTGATAGCATAATGTACTCATAAGCAGCTTATGCAGTACAGTATTCAGAAAATAGCAGTGCATTAATTTTTAAAGTAGCAAATGCAGGCAAAGAGCAGTGCTGCCACATGATGATAATGAAGGGGGATATTGTAAAGTCTACTGAGAGAAAAGAAAGCAGGGAGCTCCCGAAATGTGAACATTTATAAAACAATAACTAGATATTCATATGATAATAAGATTGGACAGCAGCATCAACAAAGGCCAAAGATGCAGTCCTGTTTCTGCTAAAGCCTGATGAATTGAAAAGCAGAGAGGCAGCCTTTAGTCTGTTATTCAATTCCAGTAATGAGCTATTGTTAGAATGAAAGAGTAAATATCTAGAAGTGTTGGGAATCTAATTTTTTTTCTCGTGAAGTTATTCTATGGATTTGTTCAGGTTGTATCTTAAACGGCAGCATCTTTAAACACAATCTTAAACGTAGTGAGTTTTCTTAAATATAGTGCTCAGCATGTTGCATTCTCAGTTACATGTAAAACAGAGCTTGGTATGTATGCAAAAGTACAGTGTTATGCATACTACCTGGTAATATCACAGTATTTCTGTAGACTAAAAAAAAATGGTCACCCAGAACTTAATGAACTTGTCTAGTTCATATGTATTATTTAAAGCTTTGCATGAGTCATGGCGTCATTGGAGGTTTAGTTAAAAAGAATACTGAATATACCAGATCAGGTCATCCCTAATCTGTTATTAAAATTATTGAATAGAAGATATATGGGATCTCAATTTCCCTTGTGAGTAGAGATAAATCACAAAAATTCTTGTGAAACTTGTGGATTTTTAATCCTAGTTACATGAGGAGAAACAAACTCATGTTGCATATTGTATGAATACCTAATATTCACTCTGAGGGAGACACTTTGGCATTTTTCACAATACAGATGTGTTTAGGAGCTCAAAAAGTACCTGTATTTTCACCCTTATCTTCACCCTTTTCTGATTCTACAGCTAGTAGAATAGTCTTCATTTCTACCTGTGGAAAGTTTTCAAAGCAGGATCTGTAAACAGGGCACAACTCGGTTCAGCTGCTGCTGAGGTCACTCTGCCACCAAAGGAGTAGAAAAAACTGTGCAAGAAGTGTGGAAGGAAGGGGTGGGATGAAAGGTGGGCTCTGGAGAGCTTCCGAAGGGCAAAGGCAACTTCAGGCACTGAAATGGAAAGGTGGATGATCTTTGCACCTGGCCTTGGGAGGGACTGGCAGGATGCAAGACAAGCAGGGAGGTGATGGCTGTAGTCAGTAAGAAAAGTTGCCTTATCGTGGACTAGATCTTTGGCCTTAAAAATGGAAAGAAGGTAATGGACTTGGAAAAAGTTGTGAAGAAAGAAGTGGCAAATTTGTAAAAAATAAAAAAAAAAAAAGGGAAATTGGGGTAGTTATTAAAAAAAGTTAAGGAAAGCCGACACTGGAATTTGAGAGAAGAGATGAGATGAAGAATTGATAACGATAATGAGAAGTAGAAGAGGAAAGGATTTTGCTTAAGTAATACCAAAAGTAAGATTTGATCTGGAAATCTTCCAATTCTATCTTTTTGGCTTCTTCTTCTTGCCTTCCTACATTCCCTCAGGAAAACTGTGTCTGTCTTGGATAGACATTGGGTAAAGCAGACAAATGGGGCTTTGTCTGATGAGTCCATCTTAACTGGCTTTGATGGTCAGTTCCTGGGAAGAAGAAACAGCTTAAGCTGATGACTCTGACAGATAAATGTACAAGAAAGCTTGCAGGATAAGTGAGATAAAACTAGAAGACATTGGGAGTGTGAGTATACGTATTCCAACTGGTTGAATTTGCAGACCCAAAAGAACGTTGGGAGCCTGTATTATTTATTTCTGCTTGTTTTCCAGGTGGTAATGATCAGTATTCACGTGGTAGAGGCTTTGCATTTCATAGTTCTTTATAGTCCTGTGGTGCAGATGTCTTTCCCAAGGCCTCAGAAAGTTCAGATGCTTTAAGAGTCTTTTAGTACAACTGCTGAATCTGGTTTTCATTACAAAGGACTCCACAGATGCCCTTTTTAAACTTCTGCACTTGGTGGACTCAGACTGTTTCCCTATCTTTTTTTTTCATTTTTTTTTCCCTTTTGGCTATCGCATTTAGCAAGGAGAGTGGTAAATTAATGGCAGGTGCATAAATTTGGAGAACTACCAGCTCTAGAGTCATTATTAAAATAGCCTATTTGTTATATAGGGGGTTTTAGTTGTTCATATCAGGTTTAATATAAATCTGGAAGTATTCTCTAGATAAGTAGAATCCAGTCTTAGCCATAGCCACGATACTAGAATAAATAGTGCCAGAGTGCTTGAAACTGAGGGAAAGAACACCAATAAGCCTTCCCTTTTCTAGGAACAAACTTGGTCCTACCAATAGATCTAGTTCATAGGCTGGGTCTCCTGTGCAACGTTTACCCCTACTCATGTCACCTTCACAGTTGAGCCTTGGAGAGGGGGAGGGAGACTGGGCAATGGGAGGAAAGGGAGGTGGGTTTCAGTAGCCGATTTGTTTCCCATTTCTTATGGGCCTTACAAAGCTTTCTAGTTTTCATTATCTAATGCCATTGCATCACTGGAAGGGAAACCTCTGGCTGTCCTGCTTTATTTACCACAGACGGGAGAGCAGCAAACCTGAATTATGAGAACTGAAATTGAACTTAGTCCTTGTCTTTTATATACTTCTAAACAAAGGTATTTGCCATGCTTAAAACATCTTGGATGGATAAATTTCTATAGTTTGTTCGCAAGTAAGTAAGAACAGCTGCATCACTTCATTGAAAGTTGGCTCCCAACAAACAAACAAAAAAATTCAAGGCTGGGGTATATCTATGCCAAATTTCAGCCTGGAGTGAATTTTTATGAGTTATAAACTCCTGCCATCTATAATGGAAATTCTGACAGCTCTTTAACTATTTCATAGCAAAAGTAGGCTGCAGTACTGTAGGGAGAAGAAACATTCTCTTTCTGGCTGGCGTCGTCTCATGACTTAGCCATTTTAGTGGTTCCTGCAATTCTTGCCCTAACTGTTCAAAAAAATTACTGTACTCCTGATGCATCTTATTATCAGATATCACTGACTTCTGAAAAATAATTCTGCAGTGGTCCTGTCCTGCAAATGAGATACATTGACTGGATGAATATTTTGGAGCATCAGATATAAATAGTCATTCTGTCATCTTTTCTTCACTCTATCCATTAAGAAGGTTCCTTGGATATATGCTTCCCCCCCCCCCCCCCCCCCCCAGCACG